TAAAATAACTTTGTAAACTCAATTTTAAAAAACTTAGTAATAATCGCTATTGCAGTTTTGGAATCATTTTATTAGTAAAAAACGTTTCTGAAGTTGCAGATATATTTTATACTAGATTTCTTAATAAAAAAGCTGCAGATGCATTTTTTATTATATTTATTTTAATAAAATAACATCTTCAATGCTATAGAGGCCTTTTTTACTATATTTTCTTAGTAAATAATGTCTTCAAAGCTGTGACAGTCTTTTTACTGTTTTTCTTTTAAAATAATGTTTCTAAAGTTACGAAGGCATTTTTATTATGTTTTTCTTAGTAAAAAAGTATTTTCAAAGTCACAAAAGTGCTTTTTGCTATGGTTTTCTTAGTAAAATCACTACTAAAGCTTTGGAAATAGCTTTACTATTGATTCGAATTAAATCAAATATTTGAATACTTGAGTTAAATCAAATCAAACATTAATTTAGATTTGGTCAAATAAATCATTCTTTGATTTGAATTTGATCAAATCAAATCAAATATAAATTTGAATTTGAAATACTGTATACTTCTGAAATTAAGCAACCTTTAAAATTAAGCATCCTTTAATATATATATATATTAAAAATAAACACCCTCTCCTAAAAAGACTTATCGACATTATGAACATTATAATTATGGTTCAGTAAATTTTATTAAAAGATAACTAGAATAATGTTACAAATATTACGATAGTTCTCAGTTGTGATAATATATATTTTTGGATTACGATTTACTAGATTACTAGCCTATATCACTTTGGACTTAGCATGCTTTTATTTAATATTCTAGATCATTACTAATATCAATAATTTCTTTATCAGAATCCTCTATATTATCCAAACCATTAGAAATGCCACAAAATTTAAAAGACTCTGTGATGATTTCATTAGAAATACTTTTCCAAAAATGTTTTACCTATTTACATATATCACCAAGTTTAACACATCGAAAATTACCTGTAACTGTCGATCCAGCACCATCAGCAGCTATCTATTAGTGTTATTTTTTATGTAATTTGTCTTTAAATGGTTTATTTATCACGATGTCAAGTGGTTGATATAAACTTGTCAGACCACCTAGTATAACAACTAAATCAAATCCATAATCACAGAATTTTTCTTTTACTGATTCCTCCAAATGTCTTCAAAAAGAATCGTAAACCATTAACTTTGAAACCCTGGTTCTATTTTCACTAGTAATCTCATTTTTAAGATAATTGGTATATTACTTTATTAATTTACTATCTATCCACCTGTTTTCTTAGAACTAAATGATTATACCGGATGGTATCTGTTCACCTTTTAATAATCACTTCCCTTTGAAGATACAGATCGGAGGAAGCTTTGTTCCATCTAAAATAAAAAAAATAATAGTTAGATAAAATTAAAAAAAATATATTGTTGAAAATCAAAAATATTTGTTGAAAATCAAAGATATTATTAGTTGAATATTTGAATTGTTGAATCAAAAAAAAATTTAAAAATAAAAATATCAAACCTTCATAAAATTTGTAAACAATTACAAATTTTAATTTGAATGAATAAAAGTTAGAATCGTAAAATCTAAAAAACCTGAAAAGTTGGAACTATAAACCTAAAAAAATCAGAACCATAAAATCTAAAGAATTAGAATCATGAGATCTAAAGAATCAGAACTATGAAATCTAAAGAATCGGAATCATGAAATTTAAAGAATCAGAATCATGAAATCTAAAAAATTAAAATTATGAAATCTAACAAATTTGGAACTATATAACCTAAAAAATCTGAATCATAAAACCTATAAAATTAGAAACTATAAAACCTAAAAAAAATAGAATTATTAAACCTAAAAATCATAAACATGAAAAATAACTTAATCTGAACAATAAATCTTAAAATTAAAAACACAAAATCTTTGCTAATTATTAAAGCTTTCTCATGAAATTTAAAAAGTTAGTTAACCTACCTGTAGCACATGTTAAAACTACTATAAATCTATTTTTTTCATTGCCAGTACTGCAAATATAAAGTCTTTTCTCCTTTTTGGTTAAAAGTAAAATTACTTGCTATATCAAACTATACTGGAGTTTCATTCATGTTAAAAATATTGTATAATTCAAAGGATTTTTTGGTTCTCAGGAAGATAATAAATTGATGAAATTTGACTAATAATTCCTCTGTTTAACTTGGTAGTTTCTGTGAAATTTTTGTATGTTATTGCCAAAACAACTCATATCTTTTCATAAAGGAGGATAGCTATTGATCTGACATTTTAAAATCTTTTGCCAAATCACTATACAAAATTATCATTTCAGGCTCCTTTAAAATATCTTGCATTTTAATTCATAAAATTGCATAAGTAACAGTTAATCCTTGTTTCCTTTGCTTAATAAGCCAAATATGCAATTTCTTTTCAGCCTCAGGATAAAAGGCTTTTTGACCTGAGTCAATTTGTTTACTATTTTTGTCTATTTCAATATTTCAATTTTCACTTGTCTTAACCCAGCGACCTATTATACTAGCATCAAGATGAAAATAGCTTGCTGCTTTGTTCTGTTCATGCTGCTTAGCATAAGTGATAACTTGTTTCTTTTGATTAATAGAGTATGAAGTACGTTTAGGTTTAATGCTTTATAGCATTTTGGAAAATATACATTTTGTGTAAATTTCGTATTATAAAATCATTTGGTTATACAAATTAACAAATCATCTGATCTGATCATCATTTTACGCAGTTTCAAATATCATTTTAACAATGCAATTTTAAAGAGAAAAATTTTTTTATAAAATCATCTGAAATTAAGCACCCCTATAATAAAAAAGAGATGTTTAATTTTAGAAGTATACAGTATTTAAATATTAAATTGAATTGCAGAACCTTAATTATCATCATTAATTATTATCTATCTTGAGATAGTCATTAGAATCATAATATTCATTATTACCTATTGATGTTTACCTCTTTGTGATTTTAACAAGTTTTTGTTATCAATAACATATTCTTTACCACCTGATTTTTTAATGTCAATATCAAAGAATATGTTTAGTTGTTTGAATAAAAATCATTTAAAGGCATTTGAGAAGTGCATTTGGTCGAAATATTATATCTGGTCATTGTATTTTCAATTTTATTATATTCTTGCTAATGTGATTGAGATTACAGCATTTTGGTTGAGTATATTATAAAAATGATTTTTTAGCTAAAATAATAAAAAAATGTTTAGTAATTTATTAAAATTTATAAATGTAATATTTTTTTATAAAAAATAGTAAATTATAACTGATCATTATGAGAGATCATATATAATGATAATAGACTTTTGTTCAGGATTATCTTTATCTATCTTACTTATTTCAGAAGAATAGTATAGATAATCAGCTAGTATTCATAATAAAAACTGCTTTTCATATTTCATAATTCATATATTATTATTTGCAAATAATCATTTAGCGGTCTTTATTTATTGTAATAAACTTAATAGATTAAAATTCAGATTAAATTTCTAAATTCAGAATTGATTAACTTTATATTTGAAACTAGATTCTCAATTAGTTAATAAAAAGTCAAAATTTTAAAATCAAGATTTTTCATAAATTCTAAACTTAAACTCAGTCACTTTTTGATATTTTTTTCTATTAAAATTTTATCATAATCTAAATCTCATTTTGAATTAATAGTTTTTAAAACTGTTTTTATTTTGGTTTAAATAAGAAAATTGGAAAAAAAAAAAAATTAGTTTAAAATTTAGAATATCAACACATTAACAAAAATTCAAATATACCCTGATTTCTGCTCTTTTACTGATAAATTGCTATTATCCTTAGAGATGATTTTTGTTAATTTGTAATCCATCTCATTATTGGTATAATAGATTGTCTTTTTGCCTTTCGCTTTTTATTGTTTAGCAAAAGGCTTATTGCTGAAACTGTTTTTCAGCTACCTCATTAATTTAGGCAGCTGTAATTTTACAAATTGATCAAATCTGAAATATTAAAAAAAAAATAAAAAAAAATAAATTGTTAGAATATAAATGCTTTAAATACAAATTATACCTCTTCTGTAAATCATTATTTTTTCTTGCTGAATTTGTTGTTAATTTTGGTAAGGAATTGATTTTTGAAAATAAGACATTTATTTTTATAGGAGAGATTGAAACTTTATTATTTGTGTTGCTCAATTATTTTGTGAAATTCATTAAGTTGTTCCTTTAGCTTTCAATTTTCTATATAAGAAATACATTGTTAGATTACTATATTTATTAAACAGATCATTTTATCCAAAAAGTAATGATGTGAAATTAAAGATTATATTAATTAACCTTTTAAAAAGAAAGAGGATTGTTTATCCTAGACTAGAAGAATAGTGTAAATACTGAGTTAATTTTTATGTAATTTATTATAGTTGAGGGTAGTTCATGCTTTGCAGTTTGAAGCTATTAATAAAATAGCGGATTTAAAAATTCAGCTGACCTTATTATTGATGATAATCCCGAAAATATGCAAATAATTCTAAAAAAGAAATAATTCATCTTATAAATAGTAATAATAAAAAGGAATTTGAAAAGTTTAGAGTGAATTTAAATTCTTATCAAGTTTATGCTTTTTATTTGGAATTTATTATATAACAAAAAATTTTTGATAAGAGCATAAACTTTTGCAGCGCAGTATGTAAATTTATTATCATTTAATCAATTAATAAAATTTGATATTAATTACAAATTTATAATAATAAATAGCTATTAAAAGATAAAGAATTTAATAAAGATATAAAAAAATTCCAGATATCACATGATATATTAAAAAATTTTCGAAAATTAATTATATTTTTAATCAATCAGATTTTTTAACTAAAAAAAAAAAAATAAAATAATTTTTCTCTGATCTCTTTCTTTAAAATTGAAATACGATGGTTCCAAAATATATTATTGGTATTTAATTTTATTTTATTTTATTTTTTTTTAATTGAATTTTATCTTAAATTTTATTAAAATTTAGAACATATGGAAGATAATTTGCACGAATGGTGCCTTTTAGAATATTGTCATATAGCAACGTTTATAAATCCTCATCATCTGTACTTTACAAATTTATCCAAATCGTCAGAAATGTCACTTAAAAATTCTGAAATTCTAAAAGAGGCCAATTTGCTTACAGAAAATATTACAAATATAAATTTATCAATGGATAAAATATGTCTTTTAGATCCCGCCTCTAATCAAGTGTTAGAACCAACAGATGGGGACAGTTTTGAATATTTTTTATTTGGTGGAATACTTGGAGATGATCCTCCCAGAGGTTGGTTTATAAATGTCAATTAATAAAATTAAAATATTATATATCCTTGATTATTTCGGTATTCCTCCTTTTCAGATCGCACAGCTGAGTTAAGACGTCTTGGATTTCCTTCGAGAAATCTTGGTGCGATGCAAATGACAACAGATACCGCTCTATTTGTAACAAATAAAATCTTAGAGGACAAAAGTAAGTTTTAAAAACTTAATGATTCTCTTTATACGGTTAGATTTTCTTTTTAATCTTTGAAACGATAATCTTTTTTTTTAAATAATAAAAAAGCATCGATTAATCAAATCCCTTACATTGATTTTCCCGAGATAAAAATTGATAAAACTGAATCTGTGGTAAGAATCTCTCAACATTTATGATAATTTAGCAGAATTTATTTTTTTAAACTTTTAATCATTTTTAGATAATGCCTTTTCGTTACGTCGCGATACCTGATGCTCATCAATCTACTTTACAAACAACCAACAATGAAATGAAACAAAACATTGTTCCATTATTACCTTCAGGGATGATTGATTTATTAAAAAAAGATGGTGATATGGCATTTGAATTTTAAAAAAATGAGTTACAATGAGAGCAAATTCAAAATCGTAACAGAAATCCTCGAAAAAATTTGGGTTTTTTTTTTATATAGCGAGTGCGGCGCAGTTTTTATTAAACCCAATTAAATCAATCATTATTTATTTACAATTTTTCATTTAATTGAGCATGGTATTATTTTCGGTCCCGTTCGAGAAATAAAAATAATCAAAATCAAAAATATAAAAATAAATTCAAACTCGTATGTGCACCAAAAAAAAAAAAAAAAAAAAAAAAAAAAAAGAAAAGAAAAGAAAAGAAAAAAAAGGGCTATTCTATATTATATAATATTGCTTCCATCAAGCATCGATACCTCGTTTACTCCATGAAAAGATGTTACCAAATCCCAAAACAGAACGAAATGATTGTAACGGTGAAGAAAAGACTGACGATAAAGAATTATTACCACTATGAATATTATTTACAATTACTTGTTCATCTTTAATTTCGATAATAGCAGATACATCATTCTGTTGTTGCATATAATTATCTTCACAAATCGCTTGAGTAACAGAATCTGATGGTGCGCAATTAGTATTGCAAATTAAGCGATTCCGTATCTTTTTTTCATTAAATTTTTCCGATTCAACATTCCTTTGCAATATTTGATCCGTAGACTGTATTTGATCCGCAGACTGAATTATAGGTTTCTCTTTTATTTCGAATATGCATTCATTTTTACTTTTATAATATTCCATCCTTGTTAAATTAAGTATAGGCGTTGATCTTATCGCATTATTATCATCTTGTTCAATGTTGTTACATTGTTCGGACTAAGATGGAAAACGCGTAACATAATTAGATCAGAATATACACAAATCATGCAAAACTTGTAATTACAATATCGAAACTATGCATTCCTACATTAATCTCCATGGACTTATTACCAACATTGTTTCCGTGAATATCATCTTGTTTGACTGAACCATCCTGAACCTTCCTTTTCTTAATTTCGTTTTCTTGTAATTCTGGATCTTTAACTGTATCATCCTTATTTACTTGATCGGAAAATCTCGGTCGATTTTTCTGGATGTCAGTAATCAACTTTCTTTTGTTTTGTTGTGTGGGATCATTTGTTTGAGAGAGGTCATCGTTTTGAGTTGAATTAATCGAAATACTTTGACCATTCTGAATAGGAGCTTCCTCAGAAGTTTTTAAATTAGTCTCATTAGAAAGAACTTCGTTACTAATGAAATCATTACTATTTTGATCTAAAGTAGGATCATTTTGTTCTGGACTTTCTTGAGAAAGTCGTGAACGTTTTGATGCCCTCCATTTTCCAAAAACACTTCCATTCCTTGTTCTCCTAAGCAATGATGACTCATCAGTAGTAGGTATAATCATGTCAGAAGCTTTTATATCAGAATTAGATGGGATTTTATTAATCGTATTAGAAGGATTAAAGGAATCTAATTTCGTTTCAGGACTTTTTGGTGATTTTCTGCCACGTTTCTTTTGAGAAATTTCAAAAAGATGTGATATCTCTTGCTCGTCAGTTGAAACAGTTGAAACAGTTGAAACAGTTGAAACAGTTGGTACAGTTGATGCAGTTGATACAGTTGATACAGTTTGTTGTTCATGAGATGTTGTGGAAATAACATCCTTTTCAACTTTAATAAATGTATTAGTTATTGAGGTCATTTCGGAATTATTTAAAGGAATTTGTTTAACGTTATCATTCGAGTTATCGGAGCCAATGTTTTCCAACGGTTTGTTTGGTTTCTTTTTTAACAAGTAAGTTTCATCATTTACAGGTTTGCCTTGATGTCCGTCATGTTCATGTTCATCTACGTCGACACTTCTTGAGGGTGGATTAACATTTATTGAAGTTACGTTTTGATAAATAGGCGTTTGAATCACCTTTTTTGATTTAGAATTTGAACCATGATTAATCGACCCTTTCGATTCTTTGGAATTTTTATTATAAATTATCCTTAAACGAACGGGACTACTCGAACCGACCTTAGCAGGTTCTGCGGTAACCTTCTTTGTAATTTCGGAATTATAATCACGTGAATCAAATGTCGGTTTAAGTTTATTCGAAACTTTTTGTACCGCTCGAACATATAGAGCTGTAAGTTTTTCAATTTTGATATCTGACAAGGAAATATCTTGACCGGGTAAATTGAATTCATAATTTGAAGAAATTTCTGGCAATGGTTCGGGATTAAAGGAAAGCCAAGACCTGAGACTTTTTTCATAAAAAACTTGGTTCACGTTAAGACCAATCAGTTTAACCAAATATTTTGGTGAAAAGTAGTTCCCATTTTGAGGAGTTGAAGTTGGTACTATTCGCGCATAGGCAACTTTTCGTAACTTTGTAGTTACGTGCCTTTCAAGGACGAAAGCCGGCCAATATTTTATAAGTTTGTTTGTTTTTATGGGAGTTTTACTTGAACTAGACTCGGTTTTAACTTTAATTGTAATAGAGTTGATAATAGTGCTCCATGGTACCCAAACATGGTCTCCAACACCGAATATAGCTACAACTTCTTCGACTTCAGACATATTGAAAACTATTAAAAAAGGATAAAAAAAAAAAAAAATGGTCTTCGTTGTGACAGAAAATTTTTCGAGGTGGCTAGTTTAAAGAATAAACTGCTTTAGGATGTCCCGTGATAACTCACCCGTTTATACAAATTTGTACTGATCTTTGTGTACAATTTTATATGAGTGATTGGCCACATTTCATTTGCTGGTCATCAACGAGTAAAGAATTATGTAAACATCATACAAGCAACAAAACAACAGGAAAACAAAAAACTTATTGTCGCAAAAATCCGCTAATAAGATTTAGTTTATTAATCTTCGCTTATTATTATTAGATATGTACTTTTTTTTTTTTTTCTTTTATATCTTTCAATAAATGTATATTTGTGAATATAAACTAAATGCTATATATTAAAAAAAATTTTATAAATCGGAAATAATAAATGATTTAGTATATGATAAAGGGCAGATAATAGAACAATATAATAAATTTTTTGGGGAGGGTTTTCTTTTTTTCCTTTTTTTTTTCTTTTTTTTAATATTGTATAATACAAACGAACTTTAGAAGAAAAAGGTTCATCCTAAACACGTGAATCTTTAATATTCTAGTAATATCTCTAAATTAGGTTATAACGTAATATTTTTTTGAATAATGTATATATATTAAAAAGTTTATGAGTAATGAGTAGTTTTTAAATTTAAGATTGTTTTTCTTTTTCTGTAAAAGAATGAATAAAAAAAATTTAATAATTTTATAATGATAATTGTAAACGATGATAATTATAAAAATGAATAAAATTTACCGTCAACTTTGAAGAGTTCAACTTGTTTTGGAATTTCGTTAAAGAAAGAAGACCATCGATGATGTGATACTAAGCAAATGTCAAAAAAATTCAAAAAAATTATTTTTTTTTTGATCGTATAATGAAAATAAAATAAATAAAAACAAAAAGATATAAAATACAAATACATACATTGCTTATGATTCGCTTTTATCCTGTCAAGCATCTCTCTATCCATCTTACCGAAATTCATACCTTTGGAAAATCACGCCATTAAATTAATTTAAATACATCGAATGAAACTCTCAAAATTCATTAAAAACGTTGCGATCGTAAACTTACTTTTAACAGATTCTCTTCGAGAATTATGAAAACTTTCTCTGGCTTTTTCTTTGCCTTTGTCACTATTACCAGTCTCACTTGGCGGCAAAGTTGCAGATCTGGCAGGTTCTTTCTTTGGACCTAAGATGTATAAAAAAAATTAGAACATATTTATATTTGAAGTCATGGAAAAACCGAGATAAGTACACGTACCCTGTTTCCGAACCATTACATGTAGCTCTCCAGTTGTGGAGTCAAAAAGTGTGAATGTATCTGAATTTTGAGGTTCGGGTAAATTCGGATAATGTAACAATCGGCTTGTGTAAAAAGCTTGTGGGTGCACAGCACCAGGATTCGTGATGACTGATTTTATAGTGCCGGTTCTAACTTTCTTAGTCTTTGGGCCTTGGAATGGAGCTTTACCGTCAGAAAGGTATCTCCATTTGTAAGAGATCTCTATTAATTCATCTACGGTAGGTCGCTTTTTTGGATCGGAATCCCAGCACCGAAGCATAGCGGCCACATAACATTTAGGTGTTCCAGAAATAATTGGAGGTCGAAGTCCATTACAAATGTCACGAGCTAGCGAATAATCATGAGCACGGTCTGCAAAAGGTGGTTCATTTGAAGACATCTCCCACATTATCATGCCCAAACTATAAACATCTGCAGCTTGCGTGTAAGGAGTTCCTCTTAACACCTCAGGGGCCACATACGGTAAAACTCCATATATTTTCTTTGAATCATCCGTTTCGTTCTCGGGTCGACACATTCCTAAATCTGTGACGTAAACAAGTTTTTCATGTCGCAATATATTCCCACTTTTGAATTGATAAAAGGAAGGGAAGATTAATTAAAATTTATCGGTTGAATAATATTTCAATTAAAAAATAAATAAATAAAATAAATAAAATGAAAAAATAAAAATGTCCATTCAAATTACCTATGAAAATCTCTGTGTACCATTCCTACATCGTGAATACCTTTAAGACCTTTAGAAATGCGGTCAAATAATATAATCTTCTCGTCCCATGATAATTCGGTAAAATATTTTGTTAAATATTTCCTTAAACTTCCATGGTCTGCATATCGCATTACCATTACATATCGATTGGTGTCCAGATCTTTACTAACACCGTAACAATCGACGATCCCCGAACCAAGACTACATCTATGATATGCACGAACCTAAAAATTAATGAGAACAAAAAAGAAAGGAGCAGATAAAGATAAATATTTAAATCTCCAAAAAAATGAAATGAAATGAAAATGAATATCTTAATATTCTCACCTCTTCCAAAAAGTCATGAGCCAAGTTATCTGATTCGTCAAGAAATTTAAGCGCTACTTTACCCCATGCATCAGATTTTGCTGAAAAAACTGAACCCAAACCACCTTTCGCTATAAACTTGAGATCTGAAAAACTATCAAAGTTAATCCAACGAATATAATCATAAGGTGTATTTGCGTTTATTTGGGTTTCTCTGATAAAATGGTCCAGTTCTTCGTTTCCACTTGTCCAATTCTTAAATTGCGCCTTGAGTTTGGTTGTATTGCATGGTCGACACCAGCCGATCCCAGTGCGAGTTTCTCCGCATTTTGCACATTTACTTAAACCTTTACTTTTGTTAAGAGACGGTGAACGACCAACACTAGGTTTTGAAAAGGAATTAGGAGGTATAACTATACCGGCCTCCTTTGCTACTTGGCCAAAATCGGAACAACAAAAGTTACTTTAACAAGATATCATCAGGGAATAATATTGAGAAACAAATTTTAAGGAATATTTCAAGACTCACCTAAATGCTTAAGCGTAGCCGCATAGTCCATTTTACAATTCTTATAATGATTTCAATGGCGCAGCTAGATGAGTTTTTCTTTTTAAAACAAAAAAAAATTTTTTTTCACTTTATTATGACAGCTTTAGTAAAGTTCAAAGTGAACGAGATAGTATCGCTGTTCCAGTTAACGATGAGGAAAAAAAAAAAACAAAATATATGAAAGGGTGTAATTTTTTTTTCCGAAAAATAAATAAATTCAAGCTGATTGATAGTTGAATTAAGAGACGGGATGGTAAAGTATTGAGTAGAGGTTGCACTAGGAAAAAAAAAACCCCCCTTAAAATATCCCTACTTATGTCTGTTTGTGGCAAAAAAATGTTTTGTTTGATTCACTCGTGCTTCGTTACCTTCTAAACTTCAACGGGTATGATCACTGTCACGCAAGTGTCGCAATTCATATGAAGGACTTGTGACACCACTTAAATCTGTTCTTAAATATATTGTTTTTTTATAACAAATATATTCATGTATTTTTCATATAATGAAACCATTACTAAACTTTAATATCATGTTTGAACTTTGATTGGTTTGAAGGGCAAGAATGGGCTTTGAAAAAAAAAACTTGTTCGATCTTATCATAAACATTTTAATACCATCATCATCACAGTTTAGTAATTTACGCCGGATTTGGCATTGCAGATAAGAGTGAGTCCTTAGATGCCATTATGGTACGCCGAATGTCTTTTTTCATTGAGTAATCAAAGAGGCACATGCGACGCCCAAAATTCTTGATAGTAGTAACGAGTTTTTTTTTTCCAAATTTTTTTTTTCCCTTAAAAAAAAAAATTATAATGCAGGTCGAACATGTTTCGCACGGCCCATTCAGCAAATCTGCAGTCGAGGGATACAAAAAAAAAATTATATATTATTTTTTTCGAAGGGATTTTTTTTTTTTTTCTTCCTAAAAGAAGCACAATTTCATATAACCCAGTTTGTTATTTGTGCTGTAGACAAGCATCTCAAAACGTTTTAAATATTTGTAATTCTTACCAATTCGGGAATTACACGTTATAATAAAATTAATGGTTTGACTAAAATTTTCAAAATCGTCATCAGGGGCTTCATTGGTGTTTGAAGAAAACCCAACCGCCCCAAAATTCGTTTTCATTATATTTTTACCTTTAACTGTTAATACAACAAAAGCGCAGTAAATCATCTATTTGAAATATACATGTCAAAATTTTTTTTGATTTGACTTTGTATTACATTTGAAATCAGGTGAAATAATATTTGGTAAATAATTTTTTTTTTTGCCCCAAACTTTGTTAAACTTTAATCTAGGTAAAGATTACTAGTGAACCAACATTTTAATTGGCAGCCAATTGAAATGTGAACTTCAACAAGCCAATAATTTAGCCAAATAATATTTGTCTAAAGGTTAAAAACGCGAAAGAATGTAATTGAGAATCTCTTTTTTTTTTATAAAAAATAATATTGATTATATTACACAATATAAATACAAGTCCACCAATTGATATACAGATTCGCAAGACATCTAATTAAGAAGGAAATCCCCTTTGTCATTATGACACCCATACTTAACCTAAAGTTCTTGTTATCTAAATATAAAAATAATTAAAACGCCAATAATACGATTCGGGAAGCACTGTGTGAGGATCATGCTATAAAAGGTGAGATTTATTATACAAATAATATAATTTTAGGCTTATATCAATTAATAATCCGCATTGGTCCAGTGGTTAGGATTTCGCGCTTTCACCGCGACGGCCGGGGTTCGATTCCCCGATGCGGAAAAATGTGAAGATTTAAATTTTTATTTTTATTTATTTTTTGGTAAAAAAAAAAGGAAAAAAAATTTCGAGTCTTTGAAATTATTTATCTTTACAATTAGGGTATTTTATTTACTTTTACAAAAATTTTCGTAAATTATTAATTGATTATCATCTAAAGTTTTGGTTTCATTCATCTTTTTTAATGTTGATTCAATGTGCTTATTATTTATTTTTGTGCTTAAAATATCCTCCCTTAAAGAACATAACCCGGATTCTCTTATTTATTCGAAAAAATTAATTAAAAAGTATTCAATCTTATAAATAACGAAAACAGGTTGAAAAAGATAAATACCTTATTAAAATTTCTAAATCAGCTCCACTATACATTTTAGTATTTTTTGAAAGTTCATTTAAGTTCACATTATCACCAAATGAAACTTTTTTTGATATAACTTGAAGTATATCAAATCTTTCGAATTCATTAGGTAATCCGATATAAATTAATTGGTCGAATCGTCCTACAAAAGAAAATTAATATAAAATTAATTCCTAATACGTCTTCAAAAAAAACCCATATCAAAAATTTCATTTCATTGCCTGGTCTAAGCAATGCATCATCAATTTGATCAGGCCTATTTGTGCATCCAATAACGAAAACTTGCTTCAATTCTTGTATACCATCCATTTCGTTTAATAATGTACTCAATACTCTTTCATTAATTCTGTTTGTACCGTCACTACTAAATTCTAAAATTTAACAAATTATTTTTTATAATAATCAGGTGACATTTTTTAAAAAACTTTTTTTACTTTGCATCAAATCATAATAATACCTCGTCTTGATGCTATAGAATCTAATTCATCAATAAATACAATGCAGGGTATAATTTGCCTTGCTCTTTTAAATAAATTTCTTATGGCATTTTCGGTTTCTCCTAAATATTTTGAGTAAATCTTTGGACTATGATTCCCGATATAAATAAATAAATAAATCAAAAGATTCTCGGTTATAAGGTAAATAATATACAAATAAATTCTTAATTTTACCCATTAATACAAATAACATTCATATAGGATTCTGTAGCTAATGCTTGTACCATTATAGTTTTTCCACATCCTAAATAAACATTAATATAACATAAATAAAACAAACGTAAAGGAAAAAAACAACTAAACAATATTAAAAGCAAATTTATACTAGCCTGATGGACCATAAAGTAGTATTCCTGATGGCGGCTCAACACCTAACCTTTTATAAGCGTCATGTTTAATAATTGGCCATTCTACAATTTGTTTTATTTTCTTTTTTATACCTTCATACCTAAAAAAAAAAAATCATAAATATTAAATTCGGGTGGATATGAAATAAATTTGTTGCCTACCCGCCAATATCATCCCATCTTCGTTGTGGTAAAATTGATTCAAATTCAATTTTTTGTGATGGAAATATGATAGACATAGCATATTCAAAATCATTCCATGAAATTATTACAGATAAACTAAAAATGAATTACTTTGTTTAATATCTTTTATGATGATGGATATCTCTATATCGATCATAAGTTTTCTCATATACACATACCTGGCGTGATCACCTTTACCTCCATCATTGCTTGATACGCTCTCGTTAATCGTAAGCCTTGCTAGATCTTCAACGAGATCCACATCACTGGCATTCTTATTTACATTATTAAGCGATCTTAGCACCGCCAATCTACATAATTCCTTTAAATCTCTTGGTACATATCCTGAAGTCATCTAATAGATTCAAGAAGATATCAACAAGTAAAATCTTTATAATACACAAATAGGAAATTCATACAAACAAATCATACCAGGCCAAGTTTTGTAATATAATTATTTATCATTTGATTACATGAATAAGATAATTTTAATTTCGACAAATAGAAACTTAATATTAATTCGCGTTGTTTTCTATCTCAATCAAATAAATAAATAATAAATAAATAAACTAAAATTTATTAAGGTTGACTTAAATAAACGCATATTTACAATAAGGTAAATAAAATCGTACCTTGACGGTATTGATAAGACAAAATCTTGTTGAAATATTTCAATTTTACATAATTCTCTTGGTAATTTGGTTTTATCGCATGTAAGACCAATCACAAACACCTTCAAAAGAGGAAAAAAATCAAATTACATAATATACATCATTGCTTGATTCGAAGTTATTTGCATACCTGTTCAGCCTTGTGAATATCTCGAATTTCTCTCACCAACATATTAATAACTTTAGTTCTCCATTCACCTATAGAATAACCTTGCTCTGTAAAAATATTAAAAATATTAAAAATTAAAATTTTCCAAAGAAATTAATCAAAGAAATCCTGATAATGAACTTTTTTTATGCGATACAAATGGTTCTTACCATTAACAGCAAGAGCATCAAGATCTTTTATAACGATGACAGATGGTATAGATAACATAGCCTTTGTAAACATAATTCTCAACGGATTCTCCTCATATTCATCGATATTTTCGAACATATCATGCTTTATTATCATTGTTGTTAATGATATCATGAATAATGTCGCTGATAATTTATTACAAACATGTCTGTTATTATAAAAGATTTTTGTTTAGTAACTAATTATTTAAGCAAAAAAAGGGTGGATTTCTTCTTACTGTATTAATGATTTTCTACCACTTCCGTGTGAACCTATGATTAATAATGTTTTTGTTTCTGGTATTCCGAGTCTTGTATGAATTTCAGTGTTCAAAAATGAGTCACCTTGGAGAGAGAAGAAGCTTGAAATTGAAATAATTAATAACACCCAGATTAACTAAAAGTGAGTAACTTACTTATAATTTGATAAAGAGAATCAGATTCATCAGTAAATCCTACAATCGGTGTTAATTGACGTGGAACGAATGATGATGTAATATCAACTTTTGTTTCATGTTGATCAATCTTAGCGATTAATGATGAATCCTGCACGTTAAGTGCAGAATCGTCATTATAGGATAATTGCAAACTCACTACGCGAAATACACAAATGTGATCCATAATAACATCAGATAATAACGAATTCTTGGATACCTTATACATGAAAGTTCAAAAGCAAAATATATAAGGTGAAACAATGAATATAAATTAATAAAAGAAAAGGAAGAATTATTTAATACCACTTGTCCGTCAAAATGGCTTAGAATTAATTCATGCCAATCCGGATTATATGATTTTGCTCTTTGGGATGATTGAATATACGAAGAATATAATGATTTACTGGAAGGTATCCAAACATCACCATATATTTTTATCAAAAAAATCTTCTTTACAATGGTTAAATCTTCTGTTGGTGAAAAGTAGGGGAGGTTAGTTTAAGTTATATTTAAGGATCAAGTTAACTTTTTATTCGGTGATCTGACGGTAATTACTTGATATATCTATAGGATGAACATTTACGTTCTCCAAAGATTCGCCACTATTGAGCACTTTTTTGAAAGTTAACGATAGCCACCTTGGTAAAGCAATGACATTTTCTTCCAATTCATCATTTAAAACACAAGATAGATATAATTTTTGAGAAGAATTATTCAAGGAAACGCATAAAAAGTTATAATGATTAGTGGTATTATGAATTTTAGAGAGAAACTGAAGAGTTGCTAAAGAGTTTGGATGTAATAAAGCTTGTTTTGGGTTAATTTCTTCCCTAATTATAGGTATCATTATGAAGAATTTGAAGAAATATAATTTTTTTTTCTTTGCTATTTTATAAAATTTTTTAGATAATCTGTAAATTTTATTACGTAAACGTAAAGCAACCAATTTTTGAAGCCTTGTTATTTATATAAAAATAAATTTATAGTCGATCATATCCATAATCGGATATTCTAAGTTTTCGTTAACATTTTGTCAAAGGTGGCATTTTGTATGCTTCACATGATTTTTTTTTTGTTTTTTATTTTGCTGGATCGAATGCGCTAAGCCGAAAATGCTTTTCTTCAAAAAAAGTCCCCTCTCTCTTTTTTATTGTGGAAGATTGATCAAATGGCTTTAGAAAAAGAATTTTATACTCTGAAATCATCAAATGATAAGCTTTCACCGGACAAAAATAGAAATACGTTCAATGCACTTAATGAAAATATTAAGAAATTCCTTAGTTTCGTTGGACCAGGCTATGGTAAATTTGCGATTTCATATTCTATCGATTGATGTTTTACGTATAAGCTAAAATGTAAACATCGTCTAGTTATCGCCGTCGGATATCTTGATCCAGGCAATTGGGCGACAGATTTATCAGCCGGCTCACAATTTGGTTATCGGTTGTTATTTGTATTATTTTTCTCAAATATAATGACAATTATATTACAATCATTGTCAATTAAATTGGGAGTGGTAACGGGACTAGATTTAGCACAAGCATGTAAAGTATTTTGGCCAAAATACATCAATTATATACTTTATATATTATGTGAATTGGCAATCATAGCATGTGATTTGGCAGAAGTGATTGGAAGCGCGATCGCATTGAAATTATTATTTTCTATACCATTACCATGGGGAGTTGCGATAACAGGATTAGATGTTATGGTTTTATTACTTTTCTATCGCAGCAATGATATGCAAGCTTCTAGAATATTGGAATCATTAATCATGACCTTAATCGGAGGTGTTGGAATCTGTTTTATCTTGGAAGTCATTTACTCCAAACCCGATTCAAGAGAAGTTTTGAAAGGATTTTCACCAAATTTGAACGAAATATTTCTGAATTCGGCAGAATTATACGTAACAATCGGACTTATTGGTGCCACGGTCATGCCACATAATCTATACCTACATTCTCATCTGGTAAAGGTGAGAAAGTTTCGGGAGCAAGCAGCGGGATTAAAAAGAGGAGGAGGAGGAGAAGAAGGAGAAGAAGATATTAATGATATAAAAGAAAAACTTCGCAACGTAATTAAGAATACGATTAAATTATCAATCATAGATTTAATGGTGGCATTATTAATTGCATTATTTGTAAATTTAGCCATTTTAATTGTATCGGCATCAAATTTTTATTATCATGATAGATATGGAGTCATAGTAGTGGCGAATTTATTCGATGCGTATAATCTATTAAAAAAATTTATCGGACAAGCGGCGGCGACAATATTTGCTTTTGCTTTATTGTTATCGGGACAAAGCTCAATGCTGGCGGTTACGATTGCGGGTCAAATCGTTATGGAAGGATTTATCGGTTTAGAATTACCCCCATGGTTAAGAGGTTTATTCACTCGTAGCGTTGCCATCCTGCCCGCCATGTTTATCGCTATCATTGAAGGTAGTAATGGATTAAATAGCCTTTTAATCTCTAGTCAAGTTATTTTAAGCCTTTATTTACCATTCGCCGTTATCCCTTTGATTTATTTCACCAGTACAAGAAAAATTATGAAAGTTGATATTAGAGAAATAATCAAACCATTAGGATCTCCTGATGTTTTAATCAAAGATGAAAAATATTTAATCGATTTCTCTAATTCACTTTATTTAGTTATTATTTCCTGTATAATTTGTATTATTATTCTTGTTTTAGATTTATATTTAATTTATTATTTCATCAAACACTCTTGAGTGAGATATACTGTATATATACATAAAAACGAATGAAAATTTATTAATTTACAATATTATTATTTCAAGGTAAACGTTCTAAAATTTCTAATTACAGAAATAACCCTCTCGGCTTTGTTATACATTTCATGACTAAATTTGATGTTGTTTCCATCAAATTTAAATGTATCGAGACTTTGATATCTTTCGGCATATTCAATAAGAACTTTAAGGTACTTATCATCCATCCCATCAATGTGTAATACCAGAACATTTAACCTTGCGGGACAATTCTCCAATAAAATTTTTAGCATCACGGGAGTTAATTGAAACGTTACATCCAAGTAATATAAAGATTTTGGAATAGATTTTGCCATGTGAACGATCAATTCAAACGTTAAAGAAATTTTTTTATATTCAAATAAATATAAATATTCAAGGTTACGTAATGATGATAAGATGGGTAATAAATGTAACAGGGTTGAATAATCGATGGTTAAATATAGATTTGAAATGTTTGAAGTGTAAATATGAATAAGATCAAGCAACTCTACCGTAACATTTTGAAATTTTAGTTCCCTTAAATTTTTATTCGCCATCCTAATTATGATACCTCTAACTAGCGTCAAAAAATCGGGATCATCTCCATGATCGTAACAGATGAATTTTTTTATTGAAAGTTGTCGTTTCGAACATGTTAAACCAGCGAAATCTAAATCTCTCTCATCATGTTCTTTAATCGTCCAAAATTCCAACGTCACCAAATTATTACATTGACATAATACGGGTAATAATAAATGATATTGTGATAACCTGGTTAGACTTAGGTAAGTTAAAGAATTGGATTGACTTTTTAATGCATCAAAGAATAAATTTGAGCATGATGAATTCCAAAATTCACATATTTCAAGATTTTTCAAACTGTTTTGAGATTTAATCAATTCCAATATCGGCCTACAATATTTGGGTTGAATTTGTTTCTTCATCCCAATCTCTAGAGCGATTGAAATATTGTGTAATTTACGATTACATAATGATAATTTGCTCGCAAATTGTGAGATCCTTTCCGCGCGAGATACCCAATTTTCATGAAATATCGTGTCCTTAAATTCTAACGTTTCAAGTTTAATAAACATTTGAAAGAATTCATTCGATGAATATGTGGTTAAAATATTCAATATCCCCGTACTATCATGATCGTATTTGAGATGTCTTAAATTTTTTGAGTGGGATAAAAGGTAAGGTCCTAAAATTTGATTACATAATTCCGTCTTGAATTTTAATTCCGTTGGACTTAATTTATCCATTAAATTGTTTGAATTGAAGTGAAGTCCCGTCTTTCCCACCCATTGATTTAAAGCTATTTGAAAATTCAAACAATCAAATCCTCTTAAATATTTGGGGTAATCGAATAAAGGTCTTTGCGATGGGTTTGATAACCTTATCCCTTTATTCTCTAACCTTTGTTTATCATTCATTGAGAGGCAAGAGATATATATCCAAAAAATGTTTAAATTATTACCGTACATTGGATTTTCAAAAGGTCGAGACCAAAGTACGGGAATCGCCATTTTACACCATGACCGATTAAGTAATACGCATGAGAAAAGTGAAGCCTTGTCATTCTTTAAATGTTTACAAATTTCTTCTAGGCAATCGTAGGTTAATTTTGATGCGAAGCTATCTTTCATGCTAATATCGTTAAATTTCGTTAAGGTGTGACGACAGTATTCATTAGGTTTATTAGTAAAGCTGTGTGCCTTCATGACTAGCTAAAGCTATTTTTTTTTTTTTTTTTTTTTTTTTTGAGTTTTAAAAGGGAAAATTTTTTGTATGGTTTATGATACACACCAATATATTCAATTATTTTTAAGCAAAAATCATCATTCATGTGTCCGACGTGGCTCAAGAAAAAAAATCAGATGTCCGATCCGAATGCAATATTGCATCACAGATATATAGATAGTTAATTATATATATCACATAGGGAGTACCGTTCTTGGATTCGTTACATAATCTAGCGCGTGTTAAAAAAATTGTTTATAACTTTGTAATACCTTTTACCGCAGTAAAAAGTTCCAAAAATTCCAAAATTCGAAAAAATGAAAATATCTCATCATAATATTTTATCAATCTAAATTTTTTTTATTACAATTAATTATTTTTAATTTTATTTAAATTGGTTTTTAGGACGATCAACAAGTTTTGTGCTTAAAAAATGTGGGAATTTTTCAACTATGGGGGTTTCTATATTAGACGTTGATCATCAGTGAAAAAAAATTTTTTTCCAATTTCTATTTGAGTTGTAACGATTCTTTTTTTCCGCACCGCATTGCATGCATGCATAAGAAATTTGGGTTTCGTATACCTTCGGCAAAAAAAATGAATTAGAAATCCCGCCTTTTAGTACACAACATCCAAATGTGTAATGGAATATTCACGTAGAAATGTTCTCATAAATAATGGGTGTACCGCAAAGATTCTCTGAATATTTTTGATGTATTGTAGTAAATCAAAAACTATTGGATGAAAATATAAATGGGCGGAAGACAATGTCGAATTCGAAATAATTAAATTGGTCGAATGTTTGTTCGGCTAATTTGCGGACCGCGTCATACATGACAATATCGGGTGATTTCCGGCACCATTAAAAGCTAATGTTAACACGACATGACAATAAGTTCGCTTTTTTTTATTACAATAAATAGGGAACGATTTTCTTCTCATCATACAATTCATTGTAAGTATAATCCGTTTACTGTGCCATTAAATCTTTCTGATATCATGTCACAATCACAAGTACGCGAAAATATTAACAATCCGACGGAAGAAGCAGCTTCGTTTACGTCCACTATAATCGAATTTCCCACTAAAACAACGCCCACACTTGCACCTGGGACTGAAAATACTGAGATAGATAATAAGAATAAGAATAATGAAAAAAATGAAGAATCAATTCAAGAGGTGGTAAATATGAATAATGAGGTCGCTTTCTCGGATAATGTGAGAACTCCTCTTCCGAGAGTTAAATTCCTCATGGTGTTTGTTGGGTAATTTATTATTATTATTATTATTATTTGGCCCGATGTTTCATGGTCGAAACTGAGTATAAGGTTTAAATTTCATATCAAGGCTTACATTTGGTATTTTCTTGGCCGCATTGGATCAAACCATCGTTGCTACTACTTTATCAGCAATCGCTGTTGAATTCTCGGCGCTCGATCAAATTGCGTGGATCGGAACTGCATATTTGCTTACTGCGGTAAGAAATGAAAAAATCCCATCATATAAAAAATTTTCGAATCTCGGGTAATTCTAATGATTTTAATTATTCTAAAAAGACTGCATTTCAACCTACGTACGGAAAATTCGCGGACATTTTTGGTAGAAAAATGACTTTTTTAATGGCGATTTTCTTATTTGAGATTGGGTCACTCGTTTGTGGACTTGCACCAAACATGGTAACTCTCATTGATATTTTTATTTTACATAAATTATGAATTCACGGCGTATTTTTTTTGCTCAACAGGTGACTCTAATCATCGCACGTGCCATTGCTGGTTTCGGAGGAGGCGGTATCTTAGGGTAATGACATACATAATTGAATTCCCGTGATTACTTTCCCAATATTTAACTGACACTTTTTTTCTTTGACTTAGGTTGGTTTTTATTATTATTGCTGATATTGTTTCATTGCAAGACCGTGGAAAATATCAAGGGATGATTGGTGGTGTTTTTGGAATTGCTTCGGTCGTTGGACCATTGCTTGGAGGCGCGTTTACCGAGTAAGTTTTTCGGTTTGATTATCATTTATTTAATTTACTAATTTTATTCATGCGTAAATATATTTAATACTTTTTGATCGATTTTTAGTTCAAAATTAACTTGGAGGTAATTATTATACATGCGAAAAAGTAAAATTATATTTCGATTTCCGCGAAATATCTCTAATTATCAACGTGCCTTATTTAGGTGGGCATTTTATATAAATCTTCCATTCGGTGCCGTGACCGTTGCTTGTGTGATATTTTTCCTCCATTTGCCACATCCATCAGGATCAATCCTAGAAAAAATAAAAAGAATAGATTGGTGGGGAACAATAGTTCTAGTTGGCTCAACAGTATCAATATTATTGTCGTTGAATTGGGGAGGAAATAAATATGAATGGAATTCACCAGTCATTATAGTTTTATTGTGCGTTGGAGTTCTGGGATTTATTACATTCGCGTTCGTGGAAAGGCATATTGCGGTTGAACCAATCGCTCCTGGTAGGTTAAAAAAAAAACTTGGGAAAAAGTGGATCTATTATTGTTGAAGGTATCTTTAAAAAAAAAAAAAATTTATTTTTAGGACGATTGTTTAAGAATATTACAGTCGTGGCGTGTTTCGGTGTAAATATTTTCCAGGGAATGTCATTCTTTGGATTGGTTTATTTTGTTCCTTTATTCTTCATATTTGTAAAAGGCGCTTCAGGTAATTTAAATGTTCAAAATGAAAGTTTTTGATTGTTAAATTTCAATTTTACCTACCGTATCGATTCCTTACGTATAAATTTTCAAAATTTTACATTTTATTAGCTACACAAGCAGGACTAGAATTATTGCCATTGATTTTAGGAGTCGTCTTTGCATCAATATTTTCTGGACAATTTGTATCACGTACAAATAAGATTTCATATAAAATAATATGTATCGTAGGTGGTATGTTAATTACGATTGGAGCTGGATTGATGAGTACTTTTAACGAGAATAGCTCGAGAGCAGAATTCACGGGATATTTGTTAATTGGAGGCCTTGGTATAGGTGAGCTTTTTGAAGAGATGTTAAAAATAAGGATTCGAATTTCTAATTATCAACTTTGATAAAATTTACATAGGCTGTATAATGCAGACCACTATTTTAGCTTCACAGCAAGTTGTGGGTTATAAAGACATCGCTAGCGTTACTTCTTTACTGACTTTCTTTAGGACAAGTAAGTTCATAAATGATGTATTCGAGATATGTAAGAATTTGATGTACTAAATCTACCGTTATGTTTATATCTTACAGTTGGAGCGGTATTTGGCTTAGCAATTCTTGCTACAATTTTCAACAATGAATTAAATAGAAATTTGCCAAAAGAACTTCAGAACGCTGGTGGCGGTTATAAAGGATTTGGAAAAGAAGATTTAATGCATATACCCGAAAGTGTTAGAACAATTATTAAGCATGCATTTGTTTTATCATTGAATCTTGCATTTAAAGTTGTAATTGCGATGGGAGCATTGGCCGCGATTTCTGCATTATTTATGAAGAATATTAAACCTAGTATAAGAAAAGGGGGACAGACCTAAATAAATATAAGTAAATCGATATAGTATTTTGTATAATTAACTGCAAGGTTGTAATTTATAAATAAAATTTATTGTAAAATTGTCAATGTTGAGAATGTTTGTTATTCATGAGAAATTACCAAATAATTTATTATTACAAAGGAAATGAATTAAAGATTACATTAATTTTTACTGCCATTTGGAAATATTTATTTATTTGTATTTCTTATTTTTTCTGACCCTTCTCTTTTTATGCTTACTTTGAATAATTCCGCATTTCCATTTGATCTTTTTAGATTTTGTTGAGATTTTTAGAAACATTATCACTATTATTATCATTATATTATTAATGAACCAGAGGTTATATTGATGAATAGTTACTACTTGTGGTCGATACATTTTAAGTTGTGATTGAGGAGATTAAGTTACTTTGGGAACCGATATACATTTGGTGACTTTGTGCAAAAGTACTTTGAGAATCTTGTTGGGAACTTTGTGTGGAAAGGAACTCACGATTAGTGACGCATTCCTAACTAAAACGTCGGTGATTTGAGATGATCCTATGCTATATGTATGGGAAGAAGAGGAGCTTTCGTGTGAAACGTATTGAGTAGAAACTGTTAATGTGTTGATGGTGTTTTTCAAGGTTCAAGGAGGTCGAATTACTAGCGCATTATCGGTGAGACATTCAACTGAAGCAGATTAATTACAAATTAACATCACAGTGCGAAGGGATTGATAAGTTATCAATTATAATTTCGCGTGTTTCATGTGTTTTCGTGTGAACGAGTTGTCATGGCGCGAATTATTTCAATGGTTTCTGAAGTTGAAAATGCTTCTATTTTGGTTCGCTCATTCCTGGTTAGTTGTTGTAAGGTTGTTTGTACATAATCGCAGATTTCCACATAATCACAGTTTCATCAGTTTCATACTTTAATAATGTTATAAATTTCTTTTGATAGCTTTCCTTCCGCAATGACATATATGAATTCGTGGTAACGAAAAGGGTTCGTAACGGTGTAACATCTATACATTTGTAAAAGGTGATTGAATTTTTTTTTTTTGTTTTTGTTTTTGTTTCGACATGATATATCGAATAAAAAACGACTTTAGAATTGAGAATGAGAGAACATCACGGTACGATTTTATAATTTAACTAACAACACTTTCTCTTTGTTTTTTTTTGTTTCTTTTGGAATAATACTTTTTTGCGAAAGGCAATTTCATATTTGCATTATCCTTGATATCCTTTATATTAGTAAGTAATGTTGCTGAACAAAACCTATGTCGTCTAAATGGTAAAAATAAATATAAAACCTGTTTTAAAAATCTAAATTCGGAAAAAAATAAATGGTGAACACCTTGATAAACTTAGTATGACATGAAGCCAACACTAAATTGTTATATTCCATTCTTCCCATTTAGGGAATTAGGCCGTGTAACTGTAAACAATTGCGCACGGTCAGCTGTCACACAAATGCAAAATAGACTTGGTAATCGAAGATCAAAATTTTTTATTTAATTATCAAATTATACCTTTTCTTTAATTACTAGTAGAAAAGGTGCTGACAGAAATAGGAAATATTAAATATTATGAAATATTATGAAATAAATAAATAAATTATTAACTATTAATTAAACTTAAATAAATGTTTAAGAGTAATCGCCGGGAATGACATATTCACATCCTTTAGTGCTATCTCCGGTGTCACATTGGCCGGCATCAGTACAGCAACGAATACACCAATGTCCAATATCAGGCTCAATTAAGTTCACAAATTTCTTAAATCCACCACATGTTGCATTGTTAGGAGAACCATCACCCGCGTTGTCATATTGGCCGCCTCCGTCGCTTGGACTCAAACCGTAAGCTGATATATCAATTCTACCGGTGTATTGAACGTATCCTTCTCCGGTCAAATAGTGCGATGACGCGATAAATCCGGTGGGCATGGGATTTGCACCAGGAGCTTGGGCGTTGTCTTGGGAGCAGAATGCGACAGCATCACTTTCACTTGCGCCAATGTCGCCTCCCCATGTTCGTGGAAGGAATGTACACATGGTATTTTCATCTAATGTGACTGTGAGCGCGTCAAGATTGAGATTGGTAGTAGGAGCAGCATAATTATACGTAACTGCCGTAAGAATGAAAAATAGTGCAATAAACTTGGCCATTTTGTTACTTTTATTTCTTTTTTGATTTTATTTTTTTAATTGTAAATGTAATTCTGTGAGGAAATTTTTTACCCTCAAGATTTTGAAGCTTATATATAAAAAAAAAATCTTTTTTTAGAACAGATCGTTTTAAAATTAAAAGAAAAATAGGAAATGCCAAGAAATTTGCATTATACAACTTTACATAGTATTTTTCATAAATTACTCTTTTTAATGGGGTGAATTCTTTTCTTGTGTAGATCTAGGACTAAATATTTCCTAATTGATAATTACTTGCCTTAAAAGACAATTAAATATTTTAAGGGGTTTTTAATTTAATCCAAAAAAGACAAGTGCCCTTCTATAAATAACTGAAATGCAAGATATACTTACCTAATCCAGGTTCATTTTATTTGAAGATACTTTTTAAAAAAAAAAAAATTTTTCGATCATACTATTAACACTTTCACAAGCAACTTTTTTCGAGTTGAGATTTGTTATTTTTAACTTTGTTAAAAGTTCTTTAGTTGATCTTGAAAGGGATTTAGATGAAGAAACTAGACAAAATAAATATTTTTTTGAATCAAAACAATACTTTTGGGGATCTCATGATTCATGCCATAAAAGTTAACATCTATTTATATATTAAAAAGGGTTTTTTTTGTTCAATGAGAACCGTAATCGCCAATGATAAACAAATACCCAGAAATTATTGAGAGGGAAGGACCTTGACACGTGAAAAAAATGGGGACTGGTGGTAAAATTTAAAAAATATATCGTGTTTCGAAGTGAAATAATTTCTTAAATGTCAGAATCATTTCGCCAAATCTAAACCTTAATTGGAAAACAAAATTATTCAAATTATTTACCATGTTTAGTGTGTTCTTTTTAAAACATTTTTATCTTTATACATTTAATACATTGAAATATAATAAATCAATTTTAAAATTATTTAGTTTTAGACAATTATTCATAAATAAGATTAATTTAAAAATTCTAGTAATTTAATATTTCATATCTTACGTTATATGGGTGATATGCTATTAAAATTGAGTACGAGACATAGTAAATCATATGATCCGTACTTCAATTTTAATAGCACACCACCCATATTGTTACCCAAGTTTTGATCAAGCGGATTGTAGTAAGCAGAACTTGGCTATTATTTGAAAGTTTTAAATAAAATGATATTATATAAAGTTTAATGTAGTTAATTATATCTCATTCATGTCTTTAAAAATTAAATCAGATAGTTGACATAAAATAGTATTACCGTTTTTTTTGGCTAAATTTTCAGAATTAAATAATTGCATGAAATCTTACGATGTATATTTTGAAATACTTAATAAAATAGATCAATATATTAATCATATATAATTAAAATTTTAGGCTATTTATTGTAATGATGGATTATGATAAGCATATGACTGGTAGTCAAATGGCATTTGGTCATATCTATATGACTTTGATTATATGACCAATATGTTTACCACATTTTTATCAGTCATATGATCTAACCAATAAATTTGATACAATACATGTTAATCGTGTATTGTGCACTGTGATTTTAGTTTTCAAATAATATACCATTATTAAATTCTTAAAATAACAAGATAATTAAAAATCTCAATAATTTTACAAATGTTTTTTTTAACTGTATATAATTATCATATCATCAAACATGATGATATAGGAGTAGCTTAAGCTAAGCCTGAATGTTATACTTAAAATTCAAATAAGTTGAATTAAGTAAGTTATAGTTAAACTCAACTCAACTTGAAAAAATCAAGTTAAGTCAAAAATTTTAAACTTAAACTTAGCTTGATTTGAGTTCTATTTAGTAAATAAAGATACAATAAAAAATTATTCTAAAAAATTGATTAAATATCATTCTATCAGAATGATCATTTCAATAGAATTATAAAAGATTATTCTTAAGAAATAATATAAAAAATTATTCTGATAAATAATAAATTTGTAGATCAATTTTCACTAATCTACAGATCAGATTTGAACAAATTTTAGCTTATTAGAATCGCTGTATTGAAAAGAATCAGAATCCAATATTATTTATTTAATAATTAGCCTGCTGAAAAACTTTTTAACTAATAACATTTTAATATAGATTACTAAATTGCACAAAATTAGTATTAATAATCACACTTCAAGTTTAAGGATTAAAATAAATATAAAATCATATAGAACCTTTCTAGTAAAATCAAGTCATAAGACATAATAAATCATATGATTTATAATGTAATTTTACTGAAACACTTCTATATTTCTAGCATTCATGATTGATGAGTTATAAGCTTTTAAAAACAAGTAATTCTACTTGCATTTGAATTTTTTTTTTGCAATTTTTTTTTGTAATAATAAATTATATTACATGTTAGCCAATAGATTCCAATAAATCCTAATGGATTCTAATAGATCATGATCTATTAACTAATAATTTATCATACATACTATGTTATTTAGATCTAATGGATTATCAATAGATCTGATCTATTAGATCATTTAACTATTGAGGTTCAATAAATCTGATTTATTTCCAACCCTAATCTAAACCTTATAAAAGCTTATGTAATACAAAAATAATACCTAATATTATAATAGTAAATATTACAAGAAAAAATTACAAGAAGAATTTATAAAAAAAAGAAAAAAGCAGAATAAGTAGTACAAATTACTAAAAATAATTAAATGAAATTTTATCAAAAATGATAGAATTAATAGAAATTAAAAGAAATAGAAATTAGATAAAAATAGAATTAGTAAAATTATAGGAATAGAATTAGTAAAATTACAAGAAATGAAATAGAAAATAATAGGAAAGAATAAAGAAATTATAGAACTTTAAATAAATAATTAGATTAATCATCACAGGTAATTATAATTCATCATTTTACTATATAAAATTCTTATATAATCTCTTTAAATACAATCAAGGAACCAAGTTCATTTTTCTTCCCTTCTAAGTAAAAAAAAAAATAAATAAATAATTTATTAAAATAAACGAATTTTTAAACACAAATAAAATTATTTCACTTGTATATATAAATTGTAAATTAGAAAAACATTAAAGAAATTATATCAAAATAAAAATAAAAAATTTATTTATCAAAGTTATAAAGATTAATAAATGAAAATGACTTAAGAAAGTATTAAAGAAAAAAATAACATTAACATCAGAAAGAATACAAGAAAGAGTAATAATAATATGAAAAATAGTTATAAATATAATGACAGAAGAAAAAATTACAAGAAAAATAATAATATCATAAGAAAGAATATTATTAGTAAAATAAAAGTAACAGAAAAAATATTATAAGAAAAAATATAAAACTTATAGAAAAATAATACAAGAAGCAAGTCTTAATACAAGAAAGAATACCAGAAGAAATAATCACTAGCGGAAGAAAGTTTAAGAAGAATATGATTTAAGATAATAATGTAATATAAAATAATTGATGCCTAATATTTAAATAGTACTTATAGTAAAAATAATATAAATATAATACAAATGGTTTATTAATGCTGACGCTACTAAAATTATGCGAGATTTGAAAAGCTTAAACTTTATAAAATAGAAAGATAATAAAAAGAAATATAGTAATAGAAGAAAAATAATACAATATTAGGAAAAAAATAATATAATAATAGAAGAAAAGTTAAACTTAGTGTTCCGCACGGATCGGATCGGATCGGATTTGGGCAAAATCCGATTTGATCCGGATCCGAAAAATCCGAATCTGATTCGATCCGAATCTGACAAATCCGAATCCGATTCGATCCGAATCCGACAAATCCGAATCCGAATCTGAAGGATCAAAAAAATTTTTTAGGTTTTTAAATGCCTACGACGTTCGGAACG